TACTGTTCCTAAGCTCTTCTCTCAGGGTCTGAGCTGCCTGTGGAGTAAGGAGGCCTGTATCAGACTGTGGTTCTGACTACTGCCTGCTGCTGCTGAGCGCTAACGCCATTCCATTGTCCAGGGATGCCAGCACTGTATGCATCTCTTTTCTGAATTGTACAAAAAAATTCCCCATTTTCATTTATTTTTGGTCTGTCAGTTAATGATTATAATAAAAACTAAATTTGATCTGTTGTCTTTTTTTTTTTTTTTTATAAATTAACATCAGCTTAAAGAAATAGTTATTTATTTATTTATTTATATTTTTAACTATGCATGAGGTGCAGCGTGAGGTATGCTGATACAGGAAAATAATCCTGGTGTGATACAGCTTACTGTTGCTTACCTCGAAGTTGATTATTTTCTAAAACAGTACATCTCGAAGTGTTTACTTTTCCTTAGGCCACAGCAATTTGCCAATAATAACAATTTATTTATTAATAGAAGTCTTTTTTTTAACCATTTATAGTCACATGTTGTTTACCATCTGCAAGAAAAGGTAGGTCCTATTATTACTTGCATTATAGCAGATATAAACATTATATAATCATTCCTTCACCAGCATCTCAATTTTTTTCTCTATTGAAATTTAAGACCAAAAAAAAAAAAAAAACAGCTTGTCAAGTTACTGAGAAACTGGAATGCACAGAGCACTCTGTCCTGAAGACTTTCCTGTGGCGGAAAACTCTGTTACAGCTTTACCTCGGACTGTTACGAAGTGTTGACACTGGAGACTCCTTCCATCAATGTGAAATGTCTCCTTATAGAAAACGTTGCCATAACAATTACACGCATTTAAAAATCTGTTTATGTGGCTATTCAAGTCCCTGTGTATATTTTTTATTATAGGATTAATGCTCTTATTAGAGCAAGAGCATTAACATAAACTTGTGAACTGATTTGCGGCCAGAGCTACGGTTCAGGGCTGCTGTTATGGATAATTAATCAACACTTTATAGCCAATCAGATTTGACAATTCAACAATGCTGTTCTAAATGACAACATTTAAATATTCTGCTAAATGTTAAGCAATTCAACACAATCTTAATTTGAGAGATGCATTAATGAATCAAATAATAGTTTCCAGAAGTATTTATTACATCTGACGTTTCATTTCTTTTATCGGGTTCATCAGTTCAGCCACATAGATATTATTGGATGTGCTAATTTAACACCCCTCCCGGACTAAAAAGTTTCCTGTTTAACCACAACACGCCACTAATTTAGTCAGACATTCACATCTGCACACTTGGCAAGTCAAATTCCTATTTGCCGTGTTTGTAAAAATAACGTAATGAAGATACAAGGAGATGTTGAAATTTTTGCATGCTGCAATAACAAGGTGCTCCTTTAAGTATCTCAAAGGGTGCTACTAAAAAGTTTTTTTCTACCTGCAATTTTTCTACCTGCCTTCATGGTCATGGCAATTTTTATTATGTACAAAAATGTAGTAATACCAGTGTGCTGGTGATTATCACTGACTTACCTGACTATATTTAATTAGGTAATGAAAGCATGGGTAACGAGCAGCTTATTACGGCTGTTTGTCAGCGTTCAGTTTCGTCTTTATTATCCCTGTCCCCTTGTGACCAGGTCCTGTAACACCACTCACACTGAAGGGGGCAGTGTTTACTCTCGGTCTTCATCCCACAGAAAGACCTGCACGTACTACATGTACATGCAATTGAAATCGCAGACCTCTAAATGACTCCCTGTACTGAATTGAATTGAGTTAGATTCAGTTATTTATAACAATCACAAATGTTAATTGTGATTTATAGTCCTATTTTTTGTTTCATACTAAACAATTGAGAAAATGTCCTTGATCTATGTTATTACATGCACTTACAGAAGTGATACATTAAGCCTGTATTTTCTAACTGGATTTGCATTTTAGTCGGATCTCATCTGCTGCAGTTTTAAATTATGTAGATCATGCAATTGTTAAAAAAAAAAAAAATAGGTGTGACATTAATGCAATTAATACAATTGCAAATGACTAATTGTTCACTAAATTTACAAATATATTTTATTTGTGTGTAATATGTGAATGATTGAAAATGCATTGTTGCATCTTACAATCAGTACAAAAAAACAAAAAAATATTTCTCCAACTCCATAGCTGTATATTCCTGTCATGAAAATGAGCAATATTTTAAGCTTAAACCTAGAGGAATTTTGTACAGTTTTAGTTTAATACAGCGTTTTTTTTTTTTTTTTTTCATGTGTGATCATTTTATTTGCGTCTGCCACAAGGTAGTGTAGTGTAAGTTTTCTGCTTGTCCGTGAGTCTGTTTATTCATTCGTCCATCCAAGATTTGCAATCTCAAGAACGGTTGGTTTAATATTTGAAGGATCCATAAGGAATTATCACTGTAAACAGCAAATGAACTGATTTGATTTGAAAGTGATCCAAACTGGGTTATGGTCAAATGCCTAAAATAGTTTTTCTTCAATAGCTTACTTTCTGTTTAAAGAATATTTTAAGGGTATTTCAGGCATACAAATTAGTAGCAAGAAGGACTAGACTTGGCAGTAGAGGCATGAATTCTACTTGTTTCACTGGTTTCAAATTGATCAGCATCCCCACAATTACTATTTTGTGATGCCACTAAATCTCTTAATCTAATGTCTAAAAAGGTTGGAGACACTAGTAAAGGATCTTGGACAGTCTTCCATACAGGACATTTCAATCTCTTTTTTTATTCTTAGGGTAGTGCATGTGTACATCTCTCTTCCATTCAGACCGCAGGGTTCAAAACAGGAGCCTTTACAAAACATGGAGTTTTGTGTTGCACAATCATTTCTGTGTTGCTTTGGTTACTTATATGTGATGAAAAATTTTATAGTCTAGTTGTAACCTCCTGGCAGAGGCAACCAGGGTTTAATGAGCTGAAAAATCCTGGAACATAGCAGAATTCATGATGCCATTTATCTTCCCAAGAGCCTCTGAACCACCTGTGACAAAACAGTTCCAAAGCTGAGTATCAGGGGCTTTTCTGGTTAATGCAGTTGATGGCTGTGAGGATTTGCCCATTCAACCACAAAAGCATTAGTGAGGTCGGTCACTGATGTTGGATGAGGAGGCCTGGGGCAAAGTCAGTGTTCCAGTTCATCCCAAAGGTGTTCAGTGGGGTTGAGGTCACGGCTCTGTGCAGGACACTCAAGTTCTTCCACTCCAACCTTGGCAAACCATGTCTTCATGGACCTTGCTTTGTGCACAGGGGCAATTCATGCTGGAACAGGTTTGGGCCACTTAGTTCCAGTGAAGGGAAACTGTAATGCTACAGCATACAAAGACATCCTATACAACTGTGTGGTTCTAACTTTGTGTCAACAGTTTGGGGAAGAAGCACATATGGGTTACGGTCAGGTATCCACAATCCTTTGTGTATATTTAAGAGTGCCGATAATTGTGCAACGTGTTATTGAGGGCAAAGTCATTCTTTTTGTTTTGAGGACAGGCATATGGTTTATTTAATTGTGTTTTATTAAATAGTTGTGTGTAATATTTATTTTATGCAACCATTTTCTTATAATAATTAGAAAATAATTTTGCATTTGCCCATAACATTAATAATTAAAATAACAAATTAGCTTTAAATTTTGACAGCTAGGGTGCTCTATCCAAGAGCCATCATCCTGTAAATATAACCAGAAATAAAATATTTACTTCAAAACTGTGACTAATCTTTCCGTCATTTTTTAAAAATTATATTGATATGCATCCACAATGTTGCAATATTTTTCATTCAGAAATGCCATATGAGATTTAGATTTCCGCTGATAGTCCATTGACAGGAGCATTATGAATATGCAAACGAGCTCGGAAATGTCTGATATTAAACTGTGCCGTGACGTGTTACTTATTTTGAAGATGCTGCTACACAAAGTGATGCAGCCTCCCCCCTGAGTGAGTGAGCAGCACTGGCTACTTCAGCCAATCAGACACCTCTCTCTGGCACTCTCTGCTTCTTAATTGGCCAACAGCGACAGAAAGAACAGCTGATCCATGTGTGGAGGCTGATTTATCATCCACCCAGCCAGCACAGGAGAGGCAGAGACAGAGGACGGGCTTGCAGAGAGAGAGAGAGAACGGCTGACTGGTGCAGAAGAATCTGCTACTGAATCTCATCACCTGTATCCTGCTCTGTATCCCTGCCTGGCAAAGATGAACCACAGCCCTGGTGAAAAAGAGGCTGAGACCACAGAGCCAATGCGCTACCTCAGGTAAGCTCAGACTCAGCTGATGTTTGTAATCTGATACTGCAGTGCTATATCTCTGTTGTGAAAAGATTTGTCGTAAATGTGGTGCTAAAGCTGAGAGATTTGTGACCTGTATCTGTACCACTCTGAGGTAATTCATCTTTAATGAAGGGATGCTCGAAAAAGGCCAAGCCTACACCACACACACACACACACATACATATATATATAATTTTTCCTTATTAATGTCCTTTTAGAGACATTATTTAGAAATCCTCATACAGAAATCAAACATAAGCATAATTGCCTCAAATCTGCATTTCCACTTTTATGGCCAGCACATTTGGAGATTCAAATGTGTCTTGACAGGTGGAACAGTGCCCGCTCACATTTACATGTGCATTTATTTATATGATAGACTTGTTTCTCCATCAAATCTGAGCAGTTGAGGATTAAGTTCCTTGTTCAAGGGCACTATGGCAATCTGGGGATTCAAACTCGGAGAATAGCACTGACTCTCAACCACTGAGCTCAAAAGTGATGAGACATTTCGCTCGCTGTTGTGATGGCAACATTCAGCAGTTTGCCCAGTAAAAATGTATGGACACAAATTTCAAGGAATAATCTAGTGTATATTTTTTTCCCTCACCTGCTCCACGAATAGCATCTGTAACCTCTGTGTGATTACCTCAGACATGAATATTGACACATTTCTCTGTAGTGAGAAAAGGACAGAAAGTTTACTTAAATATAACGGCACGGTGGCTTAGTGGTTAGCACGTTTGACTCTCATTTCCAGGATTGGGGATTCAATTCCCGCCTCTGCCCTTTGTATATGGCGTTTGCATGTTCTCCCTGTGCTTCGGGGGTTTCCTTCCCCCGTCCAAAGATGTGTTGTAGGCTGATTGGCATCTCTAAATTGTCAGTAGAATGGCCGTGTGAGTGTGTGTGCAGTTGTGCCCTGTGATGGGTTGGCACCCCGTCCAGGGTGTCCCCCCGCCTTGTGTGCACCGAATTCCCTGGGATAGGTTCCAGGCTACCCCGGCAACCCGTAGACTGTTACAAATTGCTGACATTGAAGACTCCTTCAGACATCAAGCACGAAGCATATTTAGGAACAAGTGCAACTGAAACAAAATGTCTCTCTTAAATACCCTGTGTAGGATGAGCAGTACAGAAAATGGATGGATGGATGAAGTCTAAGAGCAGTTGTTGAACTGCCAATCAACATTTAAAATATGCAACTATATAACACAAATCACAAACAAAGCTACAGACATTTTACTCTAACAATTAAGATGTTAGGATGAAGCAGACATGAGAGAAATTCTTACCAAAGCTGCTCTTACGTAATCAGTACTCATGCTTTCCCAAAGGCTATGTCGTATACATTAGGGGTGTAATACAGTGCCACTACCTGTATCTGTATCTTTTTAGTGCTCCAAATATTCAGATTTAAACCTGAAGTGGTTGTGACCTGAAACTTACCTCTGGAAATGTTTTAAAACATCAAACACTGGAAGAAACCCAGTGGCAGAAATGACAGCACTGTCCACATGATCTGTGAATTTTAGCTCTGACAGTTCCTCAACCTCAGCTACATCACTCAAGTTCATAATTAGTCTTAACTACAGATGTGTGCAGTACTGTTATTTTTGTTTGTACCTGCCAGCGATTATAACCAATCTAATGGATTTAATTGGCTCTTACCCCCCAAAATATTAACAAGCTAGTCGCCTAATGTAAACCACCACAATCTGGACTAGGCAGTTACTAAGAATGGATGAATGAAACTTGTATTGTCATGCTAATGAACATGGTGTCTGACAGCTCACTCGTGCCTGAATGAAAGTAAATTAAAACCTTCAGTTGCATGACTTTTTTGTTGTGTCCTGTTGGATTCCAGTCCTGCTGCATATCTCATGTCTCAACCAGATGCCCTGTCAATTTTTCTGGCATGTTTTCTGAACAAAAACACACTATTTGTATCTGTTCAGAAATGGAAAAAAAAAAAAAGTATCCAAAACCAAGACACTTCCATATTTTCATGTGTATGTGCAGTTTTTTCCTTCTGAAAAAGTAGTCCCATCTCTGGTAGGATTTAGATATTTAGAGCTTATAAAAATACAGTTATTGACTACCCTAACAACTGCACTTAGACTTCTATTATAAGTTTATAGTGAACATTTTTCTCTGTACAGAAGAATGTTTTATATTTCGTCTGTGGTAATCATGCTACAGATGAGGTACATAGAGATCAGTTTGTAAAATAATGAAGTTTTCCTTTAACCTGTTTTGTCAGTGCTTGCTGAATCTTGTGTTGAAATCCAACCTGATTTTAAAATCTTTCCCTATTCATCTATTCATTTTCTGTACATAACTGTGTATAAATGATACCTCTGCCCTAAACAAGTGATTCTTTGTGGTTGGTTTGTGTGAAGAATGTTTGCCTTGCAAGCAGAAACAAATAAAATGTGACAGTAGAGAACGAGGTCAAGGGAGAGTCTGTGCTTTAAAAAGAAATATCTGAAAGTCATCATGTGTAGCGATAGCACCTGACCTGGGGAGACTTTTTCTAAGTCCACAACTGCCTGTGGGCCTTCTTTCCTCTAAATACGTCTGGATTGTACAACAGCAGCAAAAAGAGTTGGATTTTCATAATGACAGCTTTGTTGGCTCAAGAGGCCCTCATCCTGTCAGACCACGGATGTTTAAATACAAGGCAGTCAGCGAGAGTCTTGACAAATTATACGCTTCATTGAGACCACAAAGATAGCATTTAAGTGTTTCGGCATCAGTGTGTCGGCAATCAGCCGTGTCTTTTTAGTTATCAGTGTGTGTCTTATACTTGAAGTAGCTTTTTGAAATGTGAGTACTGAAATAGTTGGAAAACATTCATTTAGTTAAGAAGGAATCCTTCAGATTTTTTTTTTAAACACTATCTCTAGCCATGGTGTCTGCATTGCATAGTGTCTGTCTAAAGACAATCACTGGGGCAGTTGTTGACTTGCTAAAAACTTCCCATTTTTAAAAATCGTTTACATTAATATGTAATATGTCATAATAAGATACATGTAATGCGTAATCATCTAATAATTGTTGGATTTCAGGGAAAAATGATCTGTCATTTACAAGTACCTGCAGTAACAGTGCTGTTTTATACTACCTGACAGAATGAAGAAATGTTTTGTGATGTCAGGAAAATGCACCTTTCTTTAAGCTGAACTGGAAAATGAGGCACTGTTATTGAGGCTCTTAACTCTCAAATGCTTAGTTTGCTTAATCTGTCAATCTGCCTCACTTAACTGTATAACAAGTAAGGAACAAAACACAATGGTGTGTGCTGTAATGGGAAAATAATCAATGACAGGGTAATATGATGTGGCCTGACATGAAGCAGAGTTGATGTTACTACCACAAAGATTATTTTCCTATAACAGCACATCTCAAAGTATTTTATTTCTCTTTTACCAGAGCAATTTGCCAACAATTTATTACAATTATTAAAGAATTACACATCATAGTTGTCATTCATTTATAACTACATTTTAACATTGTGCAACGTATGCAAAACTTATGTTATAAAAGCTATAAAGTTATTCACTCACTCCTCTCTCTCTTGAAGTTAATAATACAAAAATACACACATTGTCAGGTTCTGTTCTGAGGACTTTCCTGTGGCAGAAAACTTAGACTGTTACGAATCGCAGACATTGAAGACTCCTTCAAACATCAAGTTTTTATTTGTTAAATAACATTTTTTATTTAACGTTTTTATTCATTTATTATTAAGCTTAGGTTATGTGGAGCATCTATCATATAAGTCCTTGTGTAAGTTGCTTCTTATTAGAACCAGTGCATTAATATAAACCTGTGATTTGAATTAGTGCTGAACTACTGTCAGAGCTGCTGTTATAGAAAACTAATCAACAGCTTCTGACCAGCCAGAATCAAGACTTCAACAGGCTGTGGTATAAATGTAATGTAACGTAATGTAATGTAATGTTCTGGGTGCTGATTTGAACCCACAAATAGTGTTCTACTGTAATCCTCAAATACATGTGTAGTTTCCACAATGCATCCATTTAATGTGAGCAGATGGAACGAAGCATATTTAGAAACATGTGCAACCAAACCAAAATGTCTCTCTTAAATACATGGCTTAATAACAGAACAAAAGCCTGAGAATAATCAGACCCTGTCCTTTGATTCTTTTTTAAGCCCAAGGATGCCATCCAGTTTAGCAGCATGTTACTGTTGCCTTGTATAGCTTAGCAAATTTAGCACTTCTTTGACTAATGGCTCTGTGTTTTTGTTCAGCTCTGCTGAGTCACCTCTCTAGAGGGCTGTATTTCTATCCTGTTTTATAGTGTTATAAAGAGAATAAATTAGCACATTTTAGATAAGGGCAGTCTCCAGTGGCCAAATTGCTGCCAAGAGTACACTAAATAAACACATGTGATTACTGTGCACTAAATAAAATACATGTGAATGCTAATAACAGTCTGCAATCTGTGAAAATGCCTACAGTTAATTACAGTTTAGTCCAGCAAACTAGACAACATTCTTACTTCATTGTCGTGAAAAACCAAGTGACTGTAATTGAAACATGCAAGAAATGTAAAACTTAGATTTTTACACCTCCTAAACTCTAAGGAACCATGGATGGATTAACAATTTCTGTTGCTCACTCTTTTAAAGGATCAGTTAGTCATTTCTGCTGCCTGTGAGGAGAATTGCAATTGAAATGAAAACAGATACACAGAAATCTCACACAACGTACACAAATTATGCCTAAACAGTGTCATGCAGACCTTTTCCCAAAATTTGCTAATGGTCAAGTCTTCAGTAATCACTTAATCCTGGTCAGGGTCATGGTGGATCCAGAGCCTGTCCCAGGAACACTGGGCACGAGTAGGGACTATAACCTAGATGGGACACCAGTCAATTGCAGGGCACCATACATGTACACATTCACACCTAAGGGCAATTTAGTTTAGCCAATCCATCTACTGGAATGTTCTTTTGGGAGGTGGGAGGAAACCGGAGAACCCTGAGGAAACTGATGTGGACAAGGGAAGAACTCTGCAAAACTCTGGACAGGGTCGAGATGGAGCTATAAGGTGGCAATGCTAGCCACTGCTCCAGCGAGCTGCCTCAAGTCATTTTCCCCCCATTTGTCTACCCAGTGTGATCAACTGTGAATTCTCATGCACCAATCAGATCTCCCCGGTCATACAACAGCTACCAAGGTGAAGGCTAATATATGCTTCCTCTGAGACACGTGACGCCAACCATATCTTTTCTAACTGCTGCTCGTGCTATGTCACAAGGCAGCATAACACACTTGAAGGAAAGAGCTATCTGCCCTCTTCCGCATAAATGAGCTCACAGACACCCATGATTGACTAGTGTCACTGTGACTGACAGTGAGGAGAAGTTGATCAAAAAATGGCATTGCGCTGATGTTTTCCCAACTAGCAAACAAACTGCATGTTGTCGTGCCAAAGAGTATATATTATCTGTGATATGCCTTGCTATGCATAGGAGATGCCTTTTAAGGAAAACTGCCAAAATGAGCAGATTTGTTTTGCCTGCAGGTGGGGATATTTTCAGGGTCAGAAATATATAAATGGAAACCTTAAAATTAAAAAATGTACCCAATCCACTGCCTTACAATATCACAAATTGCAGTTTGTCTAAGATATTTTTTCAATTATATTATTATTACACTTATAAACATTTTAAGATGTTACAAACTACACCTTTAATTTAGCTAAATCATTTTGTATTGTAGTCACTGCCATGTAGTCATTGGATTACAAACG